GCTCTCTACAACTACCTGAAAGGAGGTTGTCCTGAGGTGGGGTCGATCTCTTCTCCCAAGGAACAAGTGACAGGACAAGGGGAAATGGCCTCAAGCTGCACCAGGGGAGGTTTAGACTGGATATTAGGAACAATTTCTTCACCAAGAGAGTGGTCAGGCATTGGAACATGCTGCCCACAGCAGTGGTGGAGTCACCATCCCTGGAAGTGTTCACAAACTGTGTGGATGAGGCCCTCAGTGACATGGTTTAGTGGTGGCCTTGGCAGCACTGGGGTAACGGTTGGACTTGATGGTCTTAAAGGTCTTTTCCAACCCACTTGATTCTATGATTCTGTTCAATGATTCCTGCCCTCGTCGAGCAGCTGGCTGAGTCCCTCTCAGGAAGTCTGGTCCACAGGTGGGTGACATTTTGGGTATACACCAATGTAACACCACCGAAGATGTTTTTTTCAGCAAAACTGAGGTTGCATTTCCAAATTCAGAGCTGTCAGAATTACAGTTATTTGCCTTGGAACTGTTGGTTTGCTGTGTGCACCAGTGCCTGGGTCAAACCTCCCGGGGATGAGGAGGGTTTGAAACGCAACCTGGGGTCTGACAACTTTCTACATAACCTCTCACAGAAGACAATATATAGTGACCACAGCATGGCATTTTGGGGAGACAAAGATAGCTGTCCTTGTGTAACATGCTTGAAAATCATGCTCTGCGCTGCTCCTACCTCAAAGCTCATGGTCGTCTACAGTGGAAGTGAAAAGTTCTTTATACGCATATCAAATGCTTATGTTTCAATTTGCAAAAGCACATTGGCAGAGCTCCCCAAGCCACCAGTTGTAGGTAGAGAGTTGGAGCCCTTAAATACATTGTTAAACACTCTCTAGGAGCCATGGGGTTCTCACAGTAGGCATCCTTGTTTGTAACACTGAGTCATTCTCCTGTTTCTAAAAATGGGCATGATGATGCACACTGGAGGAGATGATCTTGATAGACAGGAAAGAGGCTGGGTGATGTTTTGTTTGACTCAAATTAGGGTACACACAACAGCAGTGTAATAGGTTACCTTATAACTGCAGAAGTCTGGATTTAAATATAAAAGTTGCCTTCTCCAGGCGCAGTTCTCACATCTTTCTCTTCTACAATACAATGTAGGTAAATAGAATCTCCTGTAAGTATTTATCTGACAGTATGCTCAGTCCAACCTCAAACCTTTAATGCAGGACTCTGCAGTTGAGCTTGGGATGCCTGAGGTGGCACACAAGTAGATTTAGATTAGATACTAAGATAAAATTAGTGGTGAGGCCCTGGCATAGGTTGCCCAGAGCAGCTGTGGCTGCCCCACCCCTGGCAGTGTTCCAGGCCAGGTTGGACGGAGCTTGGAGCAACCTGCTCTAGTGGAAGGTGTCCCTGCACATGGCAGGGGATTGGAACTGGATGAGCTTTAAGGTCCCTTCTAACCCAAACCATTCTGTGATTCTGTCTGTGTGCTGCTGAAGCAATCAGTGGCCATTCTTCCCCTTCCCTGATTAATAAAGGACCCATTTGTAAAATCCACAAACATGTAAACAAATCCAACATTGTATGAGCTGATACACAGTCATACACACTGCAGATTTCTCAAAATACGTTTCTTTATATTCCCATGTTTTGCCCTGTCCCGATGCATTTCAGAAACCAAGTAAGGAAGACACTAATGGGAGAACATGCTTTTAAGTGGGTATCAACAGCCCCAGACAGAACTGTCTCCATAGGTCAATCCACAAACTAAATGAAATGACTTGTTTTTTCCCTTTAACCAACGCTGACCTCATGTAACATCTCACATCCTGACACTGGTACAAAACATTAAAGGGCAGAACTAAGCACAGAAAAAGATAGTTCATCCTCCTGCTCTCAGAGCTGCTTCCAGCTCCCTGGAGTTGAGATGTACTAGTAGGAGAAGGGATGGACACAGGTGTCACTGCAGCTTGTCTGGCAAGTGCCAAAGGAATAACTTGCCATAGGGGCATCTCTCTATACTTCTGTCAAAAGCACAGGTGATATTTCCTAGTTTCTTTTGAAGTGAGCTTCCAGAGCTCTTTGACATTTTCTGTTTCTCTAATCATCTAAGCTAGGTAGAAACACTGTTGTAGCCCACTTCAGACATCAAGATGAGGCTGCTGAACTCCTGTGTCAGAACTGTTGCTATTACTATGTTAAAGGTATAAGAAAGATTTTGAGGTTTCACACAGAAGGTGATGCGCTGATACATCACCATTCACTGTCCTTCAAGTTCATGGACAGTGGTATAATTCAGCCTTGAAAAAACCCACAAGTCAGAAGACTTAACTGCAGTGATGACTCAGCTACCCACAAATAAAAGATTAAAGTGTGAGCTGCTTTTCAGCATCATTCACTTAATAGGGCTAGTGAGAAAGCTCAGGATCTGTGTGTGACACATCAGGAACATGCAAACTATAAGGAGAAACACAACAAACATTTGCACTGTGTTATTTCAGTTAAATGACTGCTCACATGCTTCTCTGGTGGATAACTGAGAACTCCTTCCTATAAGTACTTAGCCTTTTTTTTAGATCAAGTTTCAGTGCAGGAAAATACTTGAATGTATAGGAAACGCTGTGATCTATCCTCTCAGATTTTATTAGGATACACTCCAGATGCTCAGACTTTAGAACAGAATTTAGTTCATAGCACCTCTGTGCTGCATGGGAGAAGCTTAAACAAGAGCGGGAAAAAAAAAAAAGAAAAAGGGAAAAAAAAAATCAACAAAACCTCCCCCCCCAAATCCCAAAAGTTGCTTTTTATTTTCAGTGCCTAGCTAAGTACTTCTGTAGCAAATAGCTGGGGTGTAACAATAGGCAACAGGGAAATAGCTGGAGTTGGTGACAATTCCTCCTTGTGTCTTGCCAATATTCCAGCTTTTGCCTTCAGTTTACATATTATCACATCAGTCACTTCTAAACACTGTATTTTGTTTCATACAAGAGGCAAATTCTGACTAAAGAGCCAAAAGAATGCTTTATACAATTTGAAATATTGCTGCCTACAGCCATACTCCATCTGTAGAAGTCACTTGTCTGAAACCTAGTCAAAGGACTACACCATAAAACAGAGCCAGAAGACCCAGACAGTACTATTTAATACTCCATTTTAAGTCCATAATGTAAACACCACTGTCCATAATGTAAACTACTGGCACTGTCAAATGACATATTTCTTCCAAAGAGAAACCTACCTCTGAGAGCCTCATGACAAAGTAGTCATCAGCAACCGACAGTAGTGCGTGTTTTAAAGAGTGTGTTTCTGAAGTGCTACGCAGCCATTGCAGGAGATGCACAATTGACTGCTGGGAGGAGTTCAGCACAGAGCTGGGGTCACCAAATGAGTCACTGGCGAAGTGGTGGGAAGTGAGGGTTGTCATGGATTGGGTAGGTTCAACTCCTTCTTCTTCATTCCAGTGGTTTCATTACATTCACTGTCAGAAGTAAATTATATAGGCACTGTACAGTAGTATTGTAATGCCACTGTGAAGCCAGTTCTTTTGGTACTACAGTGATTTCATGCTGTGATGTTATGCTGTGATTTTACTTTTCTTCTTGTTCTGAGGTCTCATTTCATCATGACCTCTTTTGAAGAAGCTGAAACTGAAGAAACAGTAACATGTCTCCACATGACCTTTTACCACCCTTGTCAAGAGGACAAGATGATGTTTCGTTGCTTGAACTTCTGTAAGCGAGAACAGGTCAGGGCAGATGAAATGGCCAAGTTTGGCCGGGATTCTAATGTCTGCCATTATAACTTCATGGATGCTCGTGTGTCTCGAATTCAGTTCTCCTTGCAGTTTTACAGGAAACTGAACAGTGCAGAACTTTGTTTTGAGATAAAGAACATGAGTAAGAAGACAAAACTGATTGTGGACCAAACAGAACTGGGTTACTTAAACAAAATCGACCTGCCATGGAAGTGCATCATTTGTTTTGGGGACTACCAGATTTTAGCAGAGACTCAAGAAGGGGAGTCCATGGATTATTTTGAGACTCACTTACACTTGGCTCAAGCGCCCATTTTACAAGAAAGATGCCTGCCATCACTGCAACCCGTACCAGAGAATGACATTTCTTCTGTGTTTCCTTCCCAAAGCAAAAGCCCCATAGAAATTGATGAAAACGAGTCATGCTAGTGGAGAGAAGGAGGCTGGATCAGATTGTTACCCTCTGAAGCCTGGACAGCTTCCAAAACTGAAGGCTGTCATCTCAGTCCACTGTTCAGGACAGTTCCTACCACTGCATATCAGTCTTCTTAAGTGCTGCTTTCAGCATAGGCATACTAGAACATAACAGGTTGCTGTCACTATCTTCCCCAAGACATACCTGCTCTGTGATCACCACTGTTTGCCACAAATGTATGGGAGCCACTCAAATCCGTGACAGCAGATTCAGTTGGAAAACTGTGACCACATGTCTCGAAGGTATATTTAGCAGGTATTAAAACAAAGCACGCAGAACAGTGTTTCAGTGGTTAGCTAAGTAGGGACACAATGTCTTGCTGCATTTGTTATACTTCATGCTTTTGCTTTTGACACAAAATTCCAAACCGTATTTTCAAGCCTAGTTGTAACTCCCCAGATTCTGCAACTTAGAAACACTTTGTCAGCATAGTCCTTTTAAGTTAATGTTTTTATGATCTTTGCAGCAAGATTTTTGTTCTCTTTTTAAAATGATTTTTTTTCCAAATCATCTGCTTTTGCTTGTGAATGTCAATAAATGTGCAGTGTCAGTGGTATGTAAAAATCTAGTTAAATTTTGCAATACAACCATTTGGTTGCCTAGTAAGGATTTGCTGTCTTCTACAACTACAACCTAAAAGCACTTATCGTGAGCAAACTCATTTCCAGGACAATCCAATGAGACATTTTGACTGGCACTATTCTAGGCTTTCTACAAATGGCATTGTTCTAAGGTTTACAGAGTTGACTAAAATACATTCCAACATGCTTTCTACCTCTGCCTCCCACCCCAAGCTCTCTTGACAATCTTTGTTTCAGTATCTCTCAGTTTGTTTCAGTTCAGTTTTCCTTTGCTAGGGGCTTAGCTTTTTCATTGGCACTTGGTTTTCTGTCAAGTACTTTAACCTGCTTGAAAGGCACACTAGAAAGAATCAGGACAAAGCATACATAAACTTATGTGACCATCCCTAAACATTGGGCTGTATTTCAGCATTAATCGTGACAAGCAAACCAGAATTGTAACTCAGGGAGGACAGTCGAATTGCACAATGTAATCTGAGATTAATGCAAACAACCACAAGCAAGAGAAAGTCACAGGAGAGGCAACAAAACTCAAACACAGGTTTATGTAGGATTTCATTTGTCTATTCACCTTATCCTTGCCAAAAATACCTTGTTCCTGTGTTTTCTAACTCTTTCAACTAGGCTCTGGTGCTTAACCTTTACGGTCTTTGGCCTAGATTCAGGCTCCATCTGTGGGCAAAGGTCTGTGAGACACCCAGCCCCACAGCTTAACAAACCAAACCTGCACAGGTATCGCAGTCTCACCGGGCATAGTGCTACTGGTTGCAGATTTCCAGTAGTTGTTATGCTTTTGACTTGAGTCATCCTCCTCTTTAATTATAGAGAGTGGCCAATACCTGCAAATGCCAGCTGCCTAGAGAAAGAGAGCAAAATGCAAATACAATCTGAACCAAGTTCTTCGATTTAAAAGTTTTCACATTAAATCAGCCTCATATAAAATGCATAGCATTCTTATGTTCACTAATTGTGCTCGTGTGTGAGGGAGGAAGGACCATTAGTCTTGCATTCCCAGGAAACAGCTCTATTCCTATTACTGCTCTTAAATTATTATGGACCACATTCAAAGTGTTGTTTCGTGCTGCTTTGGGCTTTAAAACCAGGTTGCTAATACTACCACTATCCAGTATTGTCATCCAATTCCTATTCACTGGCCCAGTTGTGTAGGGCATTAACCTGTGGCACTGGTCATACAAATTGCTTATGCTTTCTGAGCTACTACCTGAAGAAAAAGTGACACCCTCAATCTCAAATTTTCAAGTTCAATATATAAACAGATACATTTACTAACATTACTTGCTTGAGAAAGATCTTCCATCTGGTCTGCAGAGTTCAGAGTGATGCATCTTGGGATTAGCTCTGCACAAAGAGGCTTATGGATAACTACAGATCTAGAGTGAAACATTTCTTAGGCACGTTACCAGGAACAAAACTTGGAATGGAAAGAAAAAACCAAAACCAAACCCAAACAAAACACCACACCAGTAATTTAATGGTTTCTAAGCATTAATCTCTTCTACAACTATATTTACCTGGGGTAAGAATCAATCCCAAAATGCACATTAAAAAAATGAACCCTCTCCTAGGAGGATCCTGTTACTGTGCTATTTGACCAGCAAAAGTTAGTTTGACTGGAGAAGAAGAGTTTTTTCAGCATAAGAATACCAGAGAACATACTTTGTTCACCAGAAGACTTTGGCTTCCCTCCACCCCAAGGCTGCCATTAGTCCTACCCTGCTAACTTAATTGTGAGAAATACTACATACACAAAGGCAGCTAACATTTTTGGTGGTTTTTTGCTTGGTTCAGTTCAGTATTCACAATCATGGAATGCTAAAAGGAATGCTGAAACACCAATTTTATATTTAACCTAGTAACTCTGAATGGATTGCCCAGTTAGTCACACCAAATGACTTTATATTCAAAAATGGCTCAAATTTAGCACAGAAACATATATATAACTGGTACATCATAGAATCACAGAATGGTTTGGGTTGGAAAGGACCTTAAGACCATCTATTTCCAACCCCCCTGCCATGAGCAGGGACACCACACACTAAACCATGTCGCCCAAGGCTCTGTCCAGTCTGGCCTT